AACCTGGTTCTGCCTGCCTTCACGTCTTATACCTTTTCCATTATACCTTTGTCTTGGGCTGAGTAGTGTTTCCCTTCCTGCCCTGTCCCAAGTTCATGCTCTTCCTAGAGCCTCAGAATGTGATCTTATTTGGAAATAAAGAATTTGCAGATGTGATTAGTTAATAACAGGTCTTACTGAGCAGGGTTGGCCCTAAATTCATTATAAAAAGAGCAGACACACAGAGAGGAGTGTGCCATGTGAGGACACAGGGATGAGACAAGGAAGAACTCTGTATGAAGATGGAGGCAGAGACTGGATGATGTGCTCCAGGCCAACTCCTGGCAACCACCAGAAGCTACTGGAAGTGAATAAGGGACTTCTCCAGAATTGTGAGACAGTAAATTCTCATTGTTTTAAGCTACATTGGTATTTTGCTATAGCAACCCTAGCAAATGAATACACCTCTCTGCTGGAGTTCAGAAAGAGGTGTGACTTACAGGCGTCAAGGATCCCAGTTGTGGTTGTGCTGAAATTTAGAATATCAGGGCAAACCGAGGTGGAGAAAGGTGAAGGGAACATAGGTTGTCTGACATTTACTCTGCCAGGTTCCCTGCTGGGCTCCTTAGTCACTGATCTTGATCACCCCCTATAGGTAAGTACAGCCATTTCACAGATGAGGAAACTGAGGCTCAGTTTGACAAGGAGCAAACCCAACTCCACTTTGAATCCTAGAGAGGTAGGCTACTCATTTTCCTTCTCTGAGTCTCACTTTCCTCCTCCAGAAAATGGGGATCATAGTATTTGCCTCTCAGGTGGTTTGAGAATGAGAGGAGTTCATGCTGTCATTCAAGTATTTATTGAGGGGCTCTGTGCCAGCCCTGCTCTAGGCCCTGGGGACACAGCAGTAAGCCAGATGGGCAAAGTCCTCACTCCCGATGAGCCAGATTCCTCTGGACAACACCTGTCAGGTGCACTGCAGGGACTGACACTTAGTGAGTGCTCAATAAAGCTTTGAGGGATGAGACTCTGGGGCAGAACGGTGGAACGAGCCTGGCCTGTGGAAGTAACTCACTTTGGCACTAATTCTCTACCACTATTGAGTCCCCTGGCCCAGGGGACACAAGGTCTTTTTCTCCTGGGCCTCATGTTCTTGGGCACCCAGCAGTTGCTGGTTCAAGCTGCCTCCCCATAGCAAGCAGAACTCCTGGATTCAGGAATGGACTACAGGGCAGTGGAAGGAGGCTGGGGTCTTGTCATGAGGGCCCTCCCTGGCTGAGCTGCTCCCCTCAGCCACACAGCCTCCGCTAGGGCCCCACCCACTCCCTGATGCTGTCCTTGGGCCAGGCCTGAGCTTGCCCTGGAGGCTCTCCCAGCTGTCCTGATATCCCCTCTGGCTCTGCAGAGCTTGCTCCCCCTTTCCACCCCTGGAGGCCCTGGCTGGGCACCACCCCTCCCCCTCCAGAGGTGTCCACAGACATCACCCCTGTGCTATTCTTTTTCCTGACAACTGTGGCATCAAATGTCAACCAGGCTTTGCTCAGCACTGGCAGGTGGGGGCAGGGAGATGTTTTTGATAACTGTAGTTTAGTGGAGGACCTTTCCTGTCCTGCACAGGGGCTGGGAATGGTTGGCCCTCGGTCGGACTCTGCTCCCAACACACTGTGCTGCCTTGAGCAAAGCTCTTCCTCCCAGATTTGGGTGACCCTGAGCCCTCAAGAGGAGACAAGCCTCCCTGCCTTCCCTCAGTGAAGATAAGGCAATCAAGAGGTAGGGCAGAGCCCTTTGGGGGCTGGGGAAATGCTGGGTGAGTGGCAGTGGTCTCCCCTGAAAGCTGACTTCCTTTCAGGTGTAGAGCAGCTATGCCCATCAGCCCTCAGAGAAGCCCATCTTCCTGTCCTCGCTTGCCCCGAGTGAGCAGGACAGCTGGCACTGAGTGCTGGGGAAGCGGGCTCTGGCGGGCCCTGACAGCTCAGCAGTGGCAGCGCGGAGGTGGCAGTGGTCACTGTGACAGGGGCTATTCTGAGAGCTGGGAGGGCTCTCACAAGCTGGGACTGTGACTGGAGGAGGGGAAGCAGTGGGGGAGAGAAACCTAGGAGGGTAGGGGTGTGTCACTGGGGCCTGTGGAGGCGGTGTCTCCCCAGGGCAGTGTGCATTGTGAGAGCTGTGTGGTGTGTGCTGTCACTGGGAGGGGAAGGACCGATTGCGGCATTGAGATTCACCTGGCATTGTTTGGGTATGTGTGTATAAGTTTTGTGAGTCAAGCATGGTTTGAGCAGTTCAAGCACGCATCTGTGTGTGAGCAAAAGAGCACGCATGCAGTGAAATACGAGGGTGTTTGAGTGCACGGGAAGGTGTCAGCAGTGGCAAATGTGCCTGTGTGTGGAAGGAGGAGGAATGCAAGGGTGAGCAAGTGGGGGCTTGTTTGTGAGCAGGAATGAATGTGGGAGTGGTGAAGAGGATGGGAGCTTCAGTGCAAACATGGGAGAGGGGAAGGGAGCGTGAGAGGCCTGGGGCCAAGGGCCTCGGGAAGTTACAGGTCTGTGTGATTGGGATGGACGTGTCAGGGACGTTCCAAGTGTGTGTGTGAGTGAGCCAGCGTGTGAGTGGATGTGGGTGTGCAGGGAGAGCAGGTGGGACAGTGTGAGCTGGGGCAAGTAGGAATGGAAGATATGTAGGGGCAACACCATTTTTTGGAGCACTTACTCAGCCTGGTACGGATATTCTTAACCATATTTCAATCTTCAGGTTTCCCATAAAGTTAGTGCTATGATGTTCATTTCATAGATTAGGAAATAGTGACTTTGACATTTAAGTAACTTGCCCATACTCTTAATCACTTTGTTATAGTGCCTCATAACGAAAGTGAGCAGGGGCCAAGTTGTGAGTATAGAAAAATGAGTGTCAATGTGCATGATGGAATTGAATTTGTGTGGGGGGATGGGGGTGCCAGATGTGGGTCCCAGAGGAGAGTCCAGGCAACAGCTGTGAACACAAGGCGGGGCAGGGGCCTGAGCAGAGCCTGAGTCAGCCTCTAGGGCGTCTCTGCCAACTTGGCTTCCCAGCCCTGCAGTGGCAGCCTGTGCCAGGACCCCCAGCTAAGGGGCCTCCCAGCTCTGGTATGACCCCCAGCAGATCCCCTGTCTCACAGAGCAGTCTGGGCCAGGCTGAAGACCGGCAGGAGGCCTCCCTGCCTCCAAGGTACCTGAGGAGGTACCCTCCAGTGTGGGCTCCTGATGCAGGGAGGGCATATGACAGCTGTCACAGCATGTCCAGCAGTGATTTCAGATCCCTTGTGACTCTAAACAAATGACCCAGAGGGTGTGTGTAGGGGGATGCGGTACCAACGGTTCCCATGCCCACCTTCATTTTCAGGATGTGACTCAGGCAGAGGCCATGCTAGGTATTTGTAAACTGGGCCTGTTGCCACCCTGTGGGTCAAGGAGGGGCCTCTCTCTGGCCCCAGCCCCACCCTCACCCTTGGTCTTACTCCTTGGGATCTAAGCTGGAAGGAAAGGAATTTTTGAGAAAGGAGTGCTGTCTCCCATGGCCTGAGTCCAGTCCTCCAACTGCCCAGAGAATTCTGCAAATCCTAGTCTCCAGTCTCTCCAGGAGGGAGGTGCTGGCTGGTAAATTTAGGATTCTAGTCTTGGCCATCCCGTCCGGGCAAGTCACCTCCCCACTCTGTCCTTAATTCCTGATTGGCAAAAGAGACATCTTGTACTAAAGGGATACAAGGTGTTGTTGCAGAGTAGCAAGTGGTGAGGACAAGCAAGGAATGGAGACAAATGTTGATGGCTGGGGCTAGAGAAGGTGTGAAGGGTAAATTGACATTTGAGCTGAGCTTTGACGATGGGAGGCTCTCCGATGCCTTGAGGAGGTGAAAGCATGTTCTAGGCAGAGGCTGGCAGGTGGAGGGGTGGCTGGAAATCTTAGTCCAGGGCCCAGTGGAATAACACCCAACTCCTCACTTGGGTTCTCCTGTCCGAGGCCATATGATAATCTGATTAACATCTGAGTCTCCACTAACCTATGCAGCAGAGACCTCACCTATCAGTCGCTGATCTCGCCACAGTGGCCTGAACAGTGCCTGGTTCGTCAAATGTGCTCAGCAATGATTGTTAATGATTGTGAAGCTTCTCCCCAAACATGAAGAACTTTGGAGCAAATGCTTGTTCCAACAGACCCTGGTAGAGCACACTGCACCCCCCCCACCCCACCCCCGCCCTCGCCCCTCTCAAATACTTGTTTTCAACCTGTGCATCACCTGGGAACTTGTCAGAATTGGAGACCTCCGGCCCCAGCCCAGACTTTCCCGGGTTGGGGCGCTGCACTGTTTTAACAAGCTTTCTAGGTTGATTCTGCTCCACGTTAAACTTTGAGAATCGAGGCTCTAAAACTACGATTACGGGCACCATGCAAGCCCGCGAAGAACCCCCCCTCAGGATGAGAAGCTAGAAGTGCGAGCAAACCTGGTCCCCAAGCCAGGTATTCTGGACCCTTGCGCCCAATTCAAGACACAAAGAGGAGGGCGAGCGCGATCATCTTGTCCCATCAGATTTCTGGAACCAGACGTGGAAAGGCCGAGCGTCTGCAAGCAGGAGGCGGGGCCTTCCTCCGGGGGCGGGGGGCGGGGGGCGGGGCCGAGCGCGCCGAGCCCCGCCCCATGCCGTTGCCCCGGGAAACCCCGGGTTGTAACAATAACCCGCTGACGCGCGCCTGGGCGGGACCCCGCCGGGGCCGTGGGCCGGGCCGCCCCGCCGCGGGCCAATGGCAGGCCCGGGCCCCGCCCCCGCGCCCCCGCCCGGCGCCGAGCAGGGGCGGGGCCCCCCCGCGCCTCCCCCGCTCCGCAGGCGGCGCTGTTGCGCGCCGGGGCCGCGGCGGGGCTCGCGGGGAGCCGGGAGCGCCGCGTCTCCACCCCGGCGCGGGCGGGGCGCGCGGGCGGGCCGAGGATTCCGCGGCGGCGGGCGGCGCGCTCCGCCCCCCCGCGCCGGGCCCGCCCCCCGCCCCCCGCCCCTCCCGAGGCGCAGCCGGCGCTGAGCGCGGCGGGCGCGGGAGCGGGCGCTGGAGCCGGAGCGGCGGCGGCGTTCCCGGGGCGGCGGCGCGGGCTCCTGCACGGGCGCGGGCTCCGGCATGGTGCAACCCGGCCTCGTCCCGGGAGAGCGGGGCCCGCGCGCGCGGCGGGCGCCGGGGGAGCGGCGCCGGCGGCGGTGGTGGCTGCAGGCGCGGGCAGGCGGCAGGTGCTAGGAGCGGAGCCGGGCGAGGTGCGTGCCCGCTGGGCTCCGGGGCCGCCGCCCCCTCGCTGCCCGCCTCTGTCCCTCCCCTCGGGCTCCCCGGCGCGCCCGGCCCCCTGTCTCCGCGCCCCGGCCCATGGCGCCCCGCGGGTGAGCCGGCGCCGCCAGGGACCCCTCCCGCGGGCCTCCCCGGGGCGCGCAGAGCCCGGAGCCGCCCGCCCACCCTGCGCGGAGCCTCCCTCCCTCCCTCGCCCCAGCCGGGCGGGACCATGGCTACGAAGCTGCGAGCGCATCAGGTGGACGTGGACCCGGACTTCGCGCCGCAGAGCCGGCCGCGCTCGTGCACCTGGCCCCTGCCGCAGCCCGACTTGGCCGGCGACGAGGACGGAGCGCTGGGCGCGGGGGTGGCCGAGGGCGCCGAGGACTGCGGGCCGGAGCGCCGGACCGCGGCCCCGGCCATGGCCCCGGCGCCGCCGCTGGGCGCGGAGGTCGGGCCGCTGCGGAAAGCGAAGAGCTCGCGGCGGAACGCGTGGGGGAACCTGTCCTACGCCGACCTCATCACCAAAGCCATCGAGAGCGCCCCGGACAAGCGGCTCACGCTCTCCCAGATCTACGACTGGATGGTCCGTTACGTGCCCTACTTCAAGGATAAAGGCGACAGCAACAGCTCGGCCGGCTGGAAGGTGGGGGCGTCCGGCTGTGGCGAGAGAGGGCATGGGGTAGCTGGCTGGGTCTCCCAGGGGCTGGGAGGTGCGTCTGGGCTCCAGGCGGGCAGTCTGGAAGGAGGCCCTGGGGCACCCCTAGGGGTCACCGAGTGTGTGCCCAGGGCGTGGGGCTGGCCAGTAGACAGGCGGAGGCGTGCTGGGAGCAGCTGTGTGCATGCTCTGCATGCGGGTGGGAGGTCTGGTGGGGTGACAAGGGACTCCCTGTCTGTCACAGACTGGAGGATCAGCCACTTTGAGCCCCCCCCCCCCCCCCCGAGGGACACCTCCACTCCAGCCTTCGGGGCATATCAGAGGAACCCATTCCCAGGCCATGCACACTGGGGAGTCCCTCTTCCCCCCTCCCTCATCTTCCACCCCTGTGAGTTTGCTTTGTGTTACTCTTGTTTTACCCTCTCCACTAGGACACCCTCCTTAAAGGGCTGAGAGAATCCTTGGGGTCAGGGGCTGCTTTCCTCCCAATTTTTTTTTCCTATGGCCCTCCCCGGAGCCGGCCCCAGGATGAGGAGTACGACCCTGGACCCAGTCTTTCCAGTGGTGCCAGCAGATCACTCTAGGGCACCAGCCAACCTGGGGTGGGGACCTGATCAGGTGACCTGGGATCTGAGTTCTCCAGGGGCAGCTGCTGCCCCCCTGGCCTGGATCAGTATGTTGGACTGATGATGACCCCTGCTGGTGTGAGGGTAGGGTACTGAGGGCCAGAGAGCCCTCCCTGCCCACCCCAGGCTGTCTGCCTGCCTCTTTCCTGTCTTTCTGCGCACAGATGCATTTGGGGGGAAAGGGACGGGCAGGGGCACCCCAAGGAAGCTCGGTGCCAGCTAGTGGAAAGGGGGGGAGCCATCTTGGGAGAGGACAGGGACTTGACTGGGTTGTGACCTCCAGACCCTCCTCTGACCATCTTGCTGGGGAGTGGGGATAGTCAGTGCCTTTGGGGTAGAAAAGGTGGGGGCGGTGCCTAGGAGTGAGTTGCCAGACTCCCTGTGGGAAAAGGACTCTCTGCAAGGGAAGCGTGCCTAAGTAGAGGAAGGGGCTGTGCCTGGTTATGGCTGCAGACAGGGTCAGAGAAAGTAGGTGTGCCAGTGGAGGAGGGGAGGCTTGTGGACATGGACAGCTTAGATGCCCAGTGACTGCATTGTAGGGCCGTGCTGCCCTGAGCTGGGAACCTGTGGCACTCAGACTTCATGCTGGCAGTTTCTCTGTCTCTCAGCCCACTGTGGGGTGGGGGCACAGACTCACGTCTCCTTCTCCATCTTCTCTCTGCTCCTCTTGGACTCGGCCCTTACCACTTATTCCTCCCACGTGGGTCCTGCCCTTGGACTTTGCTCGCACCTCTCTCCCTGCTCCCCATGTACAATCCCACCTTTCCCTTTTCTGTGCAGATATGCCCTGTCCTCAAGGACACAGAGTTCAGATGCCTCTTCCAGGAAGCCCTTCCCAACCCTTTTGAGCAAGCTTAAAACTCCCTCTGTTTTGGCCCTCTCCTTGTCTGTCATAAGTCTTAGTCTGTTGTGTCCTACCTCATTTCCCTTCCCCACCCCACCTTTAGAAGGCAATGACAGTGTCGGAATCATTTCTGTGCCCATAGCACCCGGCATAGAGCCTGGCACTGAGGAGCCACCAGTGCATGTCTGGTGAAAGAGTGAAGAAATGGATGGATGGGTCTAAGAGAATGCTGAGGTCACGCAAGGTACTATGGGCCAGAGTAAGCCAGGAGGGCTTCCTGTGGGAGGTGAAGCTCCAGCTGGGCTTGATGGATTAGGGAAGACAAGTGAAGATGGGAAGAGAGGATGTGAGGCTAGAAGCTGGGAAAAAGCTGGAATTCAATGAGCATCTCAAGGCTCTGTGCCAGGAACCTTCAGGTATCCACACCAGGTATCACCTTTATGCCCTCAGCACGCCTTGAGGTGGGCTTTACTTTCACCATTTATAGATCTTGACACTGAGGCACAGTTGAGGTGTGAACTGCCCAAGGTCACAAAGTAGTTGGGAAAACTGGACTCTAATCCAGGTGTGTCTCCTCCGAGGTCTCAGAAAGTCTCTGAAATAGTGTCCTGCTGGCACTGGGTGTGGGAGGGGGACACTAGTGGCTTGGAGCAGGGGCAGGTCTAAATCCTAGAATGTGATTGGGAATGTGCTGGGAGACAAATTAGTCCCATGGGTTCATTTCTCCGACTAGTTGACTGAGGCCCGGGAAGCGGATGGGATACTCCTCTGGTTGTCAGTGAGCGACAGACCCTGGATAGGGCCCAGCCTCCTGCCTGCCCAGTGGAGGCGGTTTCCACTGCACCCTGCTGCTGGGGACACGTTGGTTCTCCCTGTGCTGGGCTCAGGATGGAAGGAGCTGCGGCATTGGAAAGGGAGCCTCAGGCTTGGGCTCATGACTTAGGCCCTGGCAGAGACCACGCAGGCACTGGAGGAAGGCAGTTCAGAAGGGCCTCTGGCCTGGCCTATCTCATCTCCTCAGTGACTGCCTTCCTACTACTCCACCCCCACACAGCTCCCATGGGAGCCCCTGTCCCTTCACTCCTGCCCGTCCCACCACCACCACCCCTCAGCCTGTCCCCATTCCCAGTCAGTCCCTCCATGGGGCTATCTCCAACTCAGCCAACCTCTGGTTAGCAGGGCCTGTGGTATATTCCAGGGGTCAGGCCCATTGTTCCTCCTTCCTTCCCCTCCCCCACATTTGAATCTCAGGGGTGTACCAACCCTGTGTTCGATGAAGTAGGGGGACCAATGGGGAAGGATTGCACCTGTTTCAGGATGCATCAGGGCTCAGCTAGTTCCACACCCAATCTGTGTTTTATAGGCAGAAAGGGCTGGGGAGGGGGGCAGTAGGGATACTTCTGGGGTGCTGTTAGATTCCCTGGGGAGCCAGGCCTCCTAGAGAAGGAGGCAGTTGATCTGGATTGTCTACACTGAGGGAGGCTAGACTTTGGGGAGAAAGTCTTCCGGTGCATGTTGACTCCATGAGCAAAGGCAAGGTAGATTCATGCATGTTGGGTTTGGGAGTCAGGTGTGCCAGGCTGGAATCAAAGGCTTCTAGGAATGGCAGGGAGGTGGCATGCAAGAGGCGGAGTGAGATGGATGAAGAAGGCCCACATGCTTGGCCTTTGTCTTGTGGTCCCACCTGTGATGTGGAAGATAGTATCAGGGTGTTGTGGAGAGGAACTGAAAGAGTGGAGATCAACAGCAGGTGCAGGACACCTACCAGGCTGAAACTTGCAGAGAGGCTGGGCTTGGTGCTGGGAGCACCAACAGCAAGGCTGGTTTTATTCTCTTAGGGCTGAGGGTCTCCAAGCCTGGGACAAGGACTTGAATAGGCGGTCCCCTTCCCTCTGCCATGTCACAGCAGTCTGTATAGCTGACGTCCAATTAGAGACTTCCATTTCCTCTCAGATGCCTCGGCCCCGCCTTTCCTAGCTGTGGACTCCTCCGGGAAGTCTTCCAGGCTGCTCTGGGTCCTGGCACTCCTTCCACTTAGTGCCCCTTGAGTTGTTCTGCCTGCTTTTGTGTTTCCTGGCTGCCATTTCTCTTGGGAGCCCAGGCCAGGCTTGGGCGCCTCCATTCCTGTCCCCAGGCCTGGTGGGGGAGGAGCACAGTGGATGGGGACTATCCTTCTCCCTAAAGACCTGGAGCAGCCTGGTTATTTTGAGGGGTGGAGCCAGGAGGGGTGATGATACCCCCATCTGGCCCATGCTGACTAATCGGTCCTAATGGGGTGGGGGCTACAAGGGAAGGACCATCTGAGCTATCAGGAGGAGGTCCTGCTATCACAGCCCAGGCTGAGCAGTGGCTGTGAGTGTAGGGGGCTCCCCCTTTTCCCTCCCCCGAGACTGCTCCAGCAGGGCTCCCTCCTTCTTTGTCCTCGGGGATCCCCAGCCCCAAGGGCTGGTGGGGGTGCTGGAGGAGGCGGTGTGAGCCCGGGTTGGGGGGTGTCCTCACCCCCCGCACTGCACGAGCGGGGGGCTGGCAGCTGCCCGCCTCCTGGGCACGAGCTCGTGCCAGCCGCTCCTGGCACAGTTGCTGGCACGCCCGGCAGACTCCCACGGCCACCTGCTCACACCCACCCACGAGCGCTGGCGCGCTGCGGGCCCTTCCGGCTTCCCGGGCCTCCCGGCGCCCCTCCCCCACCGCGCTCCGAGCCCCCGCCGCGGGCTCCTGCTCTCCGAGGACCCCTGGCTCCTTGGGGCCCCTGGCTCTGGTCGCCTCCCCGCACGACTTGGGGGGCTCGGGAGGCCAGACAGCCGGGAGGCCCCTGGGGTAGTTGCGCCGCGAGGGAACGGGGGAGACCAGGAGGCAGCAGACAGACAGACCGACAGACAGGGTGAGGGCCCCGCCTGCCACCTGGCGCCGCTCCAGCGGGGCGATGGCGGGCAGCGCCGTGCCAGGCGGTAATTGCAGACAGACTAATTTAAAGAGATGAGACGGTTATTTTTAACTCGTGTTAAGGTAATGAACAGCGCGGGGGGTTTGCGGGTTCGAAAGTTCAGAACCCCCAGCCCCCACTTTCTGTGGGTTGGGGCCCCTCCTTACTGTACACTTGAGGACTCCAGCTTCAGGACTGACTGGGTCTGGGGGGGCCCTGACAGAGAGGGGGAGGGCTGGGAAGGCCTGGAAGGGTCGCTCCCTAGCCAAGCTCACATCCCATCAAGTCCTGACCAAGGTCCTTCCCAGAGGTATTAACATCCCTGTTTCTCCAGTGGGGAAGTGACTTGCCGCAGGGTCACATACCTAGGTAGAGGCAGGCCTGGGAATTGAACCCCCTTCCTTTTCTGTGCCTTTGGGGCTGGAGGACAGGCTTGTGTTTGGACTGTGGAAGAGTCCGGCTTGTTCCTTGCAGCCCATCTTCTGTCTTCCAGGGGCAGCTGGTGGGGTCCTGGCAGCCCTCTGTCTTGTGAGGGGTGAAGGGCAGTCATGGACTTGGTGTGTGGATATGGGCCTCTAGGATGTGGGTGTACCAG